GGATCAACCACTTTCCTTACAAAGTGTGCTTGTGTGTTGGTGTGTGTGAATGTGGGTGGTGGACGTGGGACGGGGAACGAACGCCCTGAAGAAAAAGATGGGATCCAAGCTCACCCATCCCACTCTATGTACCACCCACCTCTACCCCTCCTACACCCCAAGGGAAGGGAAGGACTGGACGGGCAGAGCCTTATTTTTTGTTTGTTTTTATTTTTGAGGAGTGAGTGTAGATTTGTTTTTCTACTTTCTCTCGCTCGTAGAAACATCCGGACGGACATAGGCGAAAGCTCCATGGATGGTGGTGTTTGGACATCATGCCTTACCTTAGCGGATAGCGTGATGCCCACACAACACGTGTCTCGAATGTTGAAATGCGCATCAGCATCACATCAAGGGGTGTAAGGCAAATGGGAAGGGAAGTGTCGAAGAATGGGAAGCGGGTGAGGGGGATTAGGTTTTTTGTTGTCTGGGTGATAGTTGACAATTAGCAACCGGGGAATGGGAGGAGCGTAACATCATCTGGTTATCCAATTAACAGTACATACGGAGGAGTCGAGATACCAGGGAGTTTTTTCCTTTTATATGTAGCTTACTAGAAGGGGTACATAATCCCTCGAGTGGTACAGAAATCTTTTTTCGCAGGTGAGCTTTCATTGCTCATTCGGTGCCGGTTGTGCTGTCTTACTGGCAAGTGAGTGGTGGTGATGCATTTCGATTATCTCGCCGGCAATCATTGACTGTACTAGCTAGTAGATAGGGATCTCTAGGATGATGAGCTTACACCAAATCCAAACCCTCAGCTAGCTGGCTGGCTGGCTGGTGAAGAATAGTATTTGTTCGCCTGTCTGTTGTAGCACGGTGTAGATGCCGCTGAAAGAAACATCACCTCTCAGATCTGGATACCGTCCCTACCTGATATTGCGCGAGTGAGAGCCATGTCTTACATCTAGCTCACACACACCCCTTTTAAAAAGGCAACCTCAGGTTGCACCTCCACCTTATTCTACATAGTAAGAAGGTTAATGCCCAGCCAAAGACATAGATAGATACCCTTTCGAGCAGTCATAGGATGTGCTCCAAAAGGGTAAAGATAGAAAGAATACCCCCTCCACCCCCATCGAGATGCCTACCCACCCCTCCGTATGTGGGATATAGTTTACCGCATCCACTCAATTGTTTGGCGGACCATGTGGTGATACCAGTCAGTAGGTACATGTACCTACATATTGGCTGCAGTAGAGTACCTATTCGAGACACTTTCCACTTTTAGGCCCTCGTTACACATGGAGGGGTTTACATACAATACGATATTGGGAAGGGTAATAATCAATATAAATACATACAGTACTCTACCTTGAACCAATCCGGTTGCCCGGGAAGAAGGGGGGGGGGGGCTGTAGGGTGTAGGTGTGTTAATATCAGACGTTTCCTCAACTTTCAACCTAAGCCTAACATCGTGATACTACAAAGAGACCCGCGCTCACCGGCACCAAAACGCTTATGCCCCAAAAGGCTGTTCTTGCAGATAAGAGAAAACCCAAAATGTATTAATAAATAAAGGGAATAGCAGCAGAAGCGGTGTCCGCGTGCTGATTTGCTGCTGCTGCTGCTGCTCCTGTTGATGCTGTTGGCGGTGATGGGTACTGAGGAAAATTAGAAGAGCATCCTAGACCCTGTTCGTGATATATCACGATCGGGGGAGTCGAAGGGCATCTATTGATGCATCCCCAGCTCTCTCAATGTCTACATACCCTCTCTCTATGTAGGTACTCCCCACCGACCGAGCTGGGAGCCTCTCCCTCGGCTAGCCCTAGCTGGGCCTTTGTTGTCTCCATGGGGGGTGGAAAGGGAAGAAACCTTAACATCCACGTCCTATGATGTAAAGGGACATATGCGAAATTGTGTCAGACAAGCACAACCAGCCCGCGCCGGGTGTGGAGGAGCAGTCGTGGCGCGACAATTAACGGACGATGGGGGGGCTAGAGTACTTACTGAGTACATGTAGCTGGGTAGGGAGGTATCTGAGAGGAGTATCCCAGGGACTTCGCCGGCCGGGGTTATGGTAGTTTGTGGTGGGGAGGTAAGTATGGTGACCACTGATAATATGCGTGTTTACCTGGTACTCTCTACGCTACTAGCTGTGCTCATCATGTCTGTCTGTCCCTCTGTCTGGCGAGTTGTCACAGAACTTGTTCATAGGTAAAGAGAGGACTTGTAGAGTACTGCAGTTTACCGAGTCTCCGAGAACGTCCGCCGGAAATGAGGGTATCGCAGACGTGGGTTCAGCGAGCGAAACTCCTCCGGCTGGATCGAGGTACGTGGGACTGGAGGATGGGGTGGATGTATAGGATGTATGGGGTGGGCGGAGAGTACATAAAGGCATTCCACACCACAGTACGTTACAGACAGCATATGTACTTTACCTAAGAAGGTTATTCCAGTCAGAAATAGAGCATCGAATGGCCACACTTATACGCCAAGTAACCTACTTACAGGCCAGGGCTTGAAGCTATAATATCACTGAGTGTGCAAAGTGGTAGGCAGTATCCAGGGACATACAGTAAGTACGGTACGCCAGCTATGGATGGGATTAATTCTCTTTTCTAAGGACGTCCGTACTTGCATAAAGTATCACTGTCTGTGGCAAGCAGGCAAATCCGTGTTGATAATTGATTGTGGCGATAGAAGACAGTAGATGTAGCATCATCATCATCATCATCAACAGCAGCAGCAGCAGCAATGGGAGAAAAAAATCAAAAGCTGACGGGGCGAAGGGGCGGAAGGTGTGAGAGAGATGGAACCATGTATGTGTATGTATATGTACTTTTCTCTACGGCATCAGGGGTGAAGGTGGAGAGAGGGGCTCATGACGACAGCGGTGTGTTTTTCTTATTCTCATTCCTCTTTTTCTCCCCCTTCCTGTATGTCTTTCTTTTGCAGAAAAATAAAAAATAAAAACGAAATAAGTATTTAAAATCTACAAAGCACGATGACGGCAATTATCAACAGCCATATGCGTAATATCAGTAATTCATGAAAAGCAAGTATCTTTGGGGGCGAGTGAGAGAAGAAAAGGGGGGGAAAGAAAAAAAAAAGAGAGCAGCAGCAGCAGCCTGGGCGCGTGGACGAGCAAGCTGATATGCTTTTCTCGGTGAGAATGCCCATGGGCCAAAGTAAACCATCCTCTGGTGCAAGGCAAACGGCGAATGTAACGTTTTGAGTATCAGTAGATCTAGAGTACCTACAGTTGTAGAACTAAACAGGCATGGGCCTTCCTCTACTAAGGTACTTTTTATGCCTGAACAGCAGGGACTCGCAGAAGCAGTATGATATATCGAGAGGGGGTTGCCATCATGAACCAGGTGGAGTGGTAGAGGTGGTAATGGTGGGTGTTCATATGGAGACGACAGGTCGTGGCGAAACCAATTGTTCGTGAATCTCATCAAACGAACTGCTTTAGCATCGTCTTACCCCTCCTCCTCGTTTCTGCTCACTCGATGAGGTTTCTTTCCCCACCCCTCGTCGCGTCTCTGCTGTCGGTGGGCGGTGGGCGGTGGGCGGGGGGGGGTTACATATGTATGTAACTGATTGTTGTCCTAAAATTTGCGAACTATACCTGGTAGTTTACTCTATCTCGCGCGAAACCCCGACATTCATGCACGGTTGCTTCCGTGCGGGATTGTGAAATTTTTCTTTTTGTGCGTTGTCCGCCCACTAATTAGTGAGTCCCACGTACCCAGCTACAGAGGAAATATCATCACACCGTTTAGATTTCCTGTACCCGGGGCAAGCAATTCGCGTAACGGCCGGTGGGCCTCTTCTTGCTCTTCCTCGTCTTATCACCTTTATTATTATTTTTTATTTCACCCGTTTCGCCTGGGGTTGGGGTTGGAAGGGCCTTTTAATAGTACTCGTAGTAGTTGCCAGACGTTTCCGGACCGGACTAGGTTTTGCATACAAGCCAAAAATCTGGTACTCCGGGAAACTCATGCAAAAAAGAGTGTATCCCTCTAGCCCCTCCGAAGTTTGATTGGTTTTAGGTTCCAGGCAAACAAAACTGGTAGCTCGGTGGATCCGGAGAAAGTTGTGGATGTAGATAGACGGGTCCGCCTTTTTGTTTTATTTTTTTATATTTGGTTTTGCACAGTGTCAGTTAGGTCAGTCAGTAGTCAGTCAGGTCAGTCAGTCAATTAGTCTCTTCCAATCCGGCCGGACAGTGAGTGTTATTGTTGTTTATACGCCAACCGTTCACCAGTAGTAGCAAAAGGCAATTGCAAGGAAGGAGGAGCAAGGAGGAGGAGGGGAAGAAGGAGAAGAAGAAGAAGAGAGGTGGAGGGGATGCAGGAGCAACAGAAGTAATAGTATGTACCTACAGCAGCAATAATGATGTTTAGAGGGCAAAGCGCAATGTACCGTGATATTTCAAATGGGAAAGATTTTTCCTTATTAATTCTTTTTTTTATGTCTTGCCCGCGGGGGTCCTGTCTGTCTTCATTGACTGGGAAGTCAGCAAAAGGGCCCAGACACCCTTCCCAATTTTGTCCTCCCACACGCACGTCTATAGTTGTTGCATCTCCCAGACACCGCGAAACTACGCTATGGGCCAGCCCAAGTATGGCAAAGAAAAAAAAAAGAGGGCCTGGTGGTCTATCGAGTGAAAGTTACTAGTCTCCCCCCCCCCCCCCCCCATGCTCACGGCTCTCCCTTACCAAAGTTCTACCTTGCCGATTGATGCAGGTCCCTTTATTTAAAATGAACTGGTCCCCCTCGCCCGCCCATATTCTCAGTCAGATCAGCTTGCCTCGGCTTCTCAACCTTCCTAAATTGCCTGGCCCTCGACTTCAACATATATACAGCAGGTTGACCCAGCTTCTTCAGAGTTCAAACTACTGAATTGTTACTCCCAGCTCCATTATCTAGTGTCCATAAAGATTGACAACCATATCACACACTACAACACTACAACAATACAACACAATACAACAATACAATAGTCCAAAATGGATTCCAGCCCTGGCCCTCACCACAGCCACAGCCAGCCGTTCCATCTACAAACATCAGATGGTGACTATGACACAGCTACTACACCCCCACAGAGCATAGAGCTTCCAGAGTCAAGCTCCCACAGTGTTAGCTCTGAGGTTTCTACACCTGGATACGAATACCAGTCCTCTCCAAATGCCCCAGCAAAGCGCTCGAATGAATCGGCCCCTCCATTTCCAAAACGCCCACGGGTAGAAGACGCAGGCCCATGCTCAGACCCCGTATTGCCAGCGTCACCCACACCATCAGAGCCAGCAACAGCGCCAGATTCAGATGTTGAGAGATCCTCAAGGAATAGATTTAGCCCCCAAAACAAACCCTACAGATCACGATCACTACCCCCTACTCTTCGCCGCAAACGACGACCAGTGGAGAACATGCACCAGCATATTCCTCCAGTCACTTTGAGCACATTGAGAGAGCTGGACCTGCACGAAATCTACCGCAACCCCAAGCTTCGTCACGATGTGGTCTTTGATTCACAGCTTCATTTCAGACCTAACCTTGATGGAACCCGGGGGAAGAGAAAGAAGGAGATGGCGGATATGTACTGGCAAATGGTACTGCACGAGTGCGAGGTATTGCTTGGACCTTCCAGGTGGAAGCGAAACAGCTCTCTGGCACCCGTACCGATGAAACTGCCAATTCTCTTCCAGACAATGCGTGATATTCTCCTTACTTTGGTTCCTAAGACCGACCGGATGGACGTCGACTCTATTCTCGACGCACCATTGCTCATGCAGCAGCTCAAGCACAATGTTCTGGACTTCAAAGGACTTGCGTTGTGGTTGTCGGGCGTTTTGAAGGCTCACTGCGCGCCAATGAGGGATCAGTGGGTAGAGCAGATGGTTGCGAAGGTGACATACGGGGTGGACAATGGAAAGGTCTCAGCTTTAGTTGAAGGACTGCAGATGGTTTTCGGGATTTTGGAGGCAATGAAACTGGTATGTTCTGTCTATCTATTGGGTGGTTCCGGAAAATTATGAGTCATACTAACCTTTCTTAGGATGTTGCAAACCACCAAATCCGAACACTCAGACCCCACCTCATTTCCACGGCGATCAGCTTCGAGCAGGGATACTTCCAAGAGAGGATAGAGCAGGGTCGCTTGGACATGAGGGAACCAAGGGAGTGGTACAACAAGTCTGTTTCGGCGTGCAAAACCGAAAACACCGACAATCTCACCACCTTCACTAGCGCCGTTGTAGACATGGTCACGCCCTCACACTACGCCAAGTACCCTGCCACATTCGTGTTCGACTACGAGCGACTCGAGAGCCTTCGCGATGACATCCGCGAAGCTACTTGTCTCAAGCTAGCAATTCTGTTCTTCCGCCAACTCACTCTCTCGTCACGACGCGACGTCAACTCTGCCACTACAGACAAGCTGAGGACCTCTATTTTGGCGATCTTGGGAGAGGAGGATGGTGTTCACCGATGGCTGCGACACAGCAACGCCGTGGCTCTGCACATCACGCAAGCCGCTAACGAGTTCAATGGCTCCACCGGCATTGCCGATGCATCTTTGGTGAAGATGGCCGAGAACTGGTTTGCTAAGCACTTGCAGACTAACTCACCCATTTACACCCGCGTTGAGAAGGGCATCACTGAAGAATTGACCGGGATGGTACTGAGAGTAATGAAGGGATGGCATTCGCTGTCCACATTCTCAATCATGTCAACTGTTGACGTGACAGGATCATCTATGGAGTTGGCCTCAATAGCTCAGAGGGCCTCACACATCACCTTCATGCACTGGCAGATCTTTGGAAAGATGTATTTGGCAGCTTGATGCGTCTATTCGCTGATCTATTTTCCTTTTCGTCGTTTTTCCTTTTGATTATTAACCTCGTTCTACTGCGAGCATTATAATAGCTGTTTCGAGGATCATTGGCTGGGCCGCCTTTCAATTTCCTTTGTTTTTATTTCCCCTGCTTTTTCCTTAGGTATAAACGGTTTTGGGCGGGTTTTTATTTTTATGTTTTTATTTGCGGTCACAAGGGGTTTACTGGCTTTTGATTTTTTTTTGACCTTTTTTTTTTATATCTAATCCCGTTATATCTGAAAGAAGAGTTGGTTTTTGTTTGGTGGGCGGGTTGGGGTGTTTATTCTGGTTTCTTTAATTTCACGAAATTGGGTTTCCTTTTGACTTTCACTCTTCTTTTTCCTTAATTGTCTTGTCTGGGCGTACCAAAGAGTAATACCACACATAGAGAGAGCGGAAAGAAAAATATAGATGTGCGCATCATAAATACCCTGTATCTTAATACTTTGGTGTATCTAGAAAGCTGTTACGAAATTTTACAGTTTCTTGAAAATTCACAAGCCTCGCTTGAATTCTGGCTTCGCATTACTTCCCGGATCCCGCTGTTGGAAACTTTAGGCTTGCTCCGGGGTTTCCTTTCTTTTTCACTCTTTTCCCAACTGCCCTTCTGCGGTTACCTTGCTTAAATTGTAACCTCCACTGTTTGGGTTTGTCGTGCTTTCCAAACATGTTCAAGTACTGGTCCTTTTTCGGAAATTCGGTTTCGATATTAGTTTTTCCGGGCCGGGGTCCCTCCAACGACGACTCGACCCCGAGACGGATTTTCCCTCAATGCCGGAGAGCTCCTCTTTTTTCCTTTCTAAGTCGCCTTTGTTTATTGCCCGAGCTAATTTGCTGTCCATAGAATTATAGGGCTTACTTGTATGGTCTCAAGATATTTTTCACTCACGTGTGCAGATGCATGCCAATTATGTGGGGTAAGGGTCCCTCCTGCAGGTATCAATCTACCGCGGGGGGGGGGGGGGGGTATGCAAGAGATAGACGGCATGCCGACTATAACGTCTAGAGTAGTCTTGAAACAAAGGAGAGCGGGGGAGGGTGTAAATTTTTTTCCCTTTCTTTGTTTCTTACCTGAGTCTCTGACGTCTTCATACATGAGCCACCACAACTCACGGGCAGAGTCACATCAGCTAAAAAGAAAAGAGGGAGAAAATTGCAACATACCTACATATACATACACGTGCCACCGACGACACTGCCTGGCCCATGCTTCTAGATGTACGTACGCACTAGGTACCCATCATCATCGTCTGCGGAGATTTTTTCTTTCAAATTGCGACACACTTCGTAAAGATCTGTGGTTACCATGGGTGGGGCGGCACGGGTGGGGGGATATAACGACCTTTTTTTGGGTACCCCGCGATTCAAATATGGGCCGGTATCTTTTAGTTACCGGAGGTCTGGGACAGCATATTACTTGCTGACTGGACTGGCAAGCAGAAGAAGAACGGGTGTTGCTTTGTTTGCGTTCTGCTACTGAAGACTTTTCGAAATTTAGTTGCTTTTTAAAGATGTCAGAAGATCTACCAGGCCATTGTTGAACTGGACTGAGTTGAACTGTACTTTACGTTGAATGCGAATGCAAGTGATGCCTTGCCTCGCATGCCACACACGCACGAGAAATGAAATTCGGTAGGTAGGCAGAGGCAGGCCAAAGGCATGATGTTACAGGTGTGGGGGAAATCGTCGGCAACCCCGGCTATCCCGAGACGTCGGTAAATCACAAGTGTATTTTATGCCTTTTGTTTTCTCGATACAGATTTGGACTATCTACTGTTCGTTAGCCATGGAGTTTGCGGTGTGTTTCCTTTGCCCCGTCGCCACCACTATCAATGAACGCGTGCCGCAGCCGTAGGGGACTTCGAGTACTTTTTTTGCAGTCCCATTTACAGCCAAGAAAAACAGAAAAGCAAAAAAAATCATTACCCCACACACGTGGGAGATTTGAGGGGTTGTAGCGCGGTAGAGGCTCAACCCAACCTTTGATGGATTTAAGTTTCGTTAAAGCTTCTTGGCTTTTGTTGTGCGACAGGGTCCCATTGCGTGATCCAAATATACTTTTTTTTGCTACACCAACAACTGCTGCGGGATGGCGTTCCGAACTCCCATTTGGTTGGAGTTTATGTTCCTTTTTCGAGGGGCACATTTATCATCCACCCCAGGGAAACCGCTGCAACTAGCAGCGAGAGGGTTTAGTCTGTGAAAAAGGCTCTGGCAGTAAGCAACAGGACTACATAGTTTTCAGAGGAATTGCATACCTGGGTCGCGGATATAACGTTTTGAGGCGCTTGACTAGTAGTACAATTACTATAGACATATATAATTTGAGATTGATTAGTCTTTATACTAGAAACAAATGTATGGGTTCAAGAACGCACGTATTGAATCAATTTGGACGGTGAAGTGATTATCGGGGAGGTGGTCAATTCGATTAGAAGGTCAGCCCCCGTGAAGTCTTAGATGATGCGTATATGCATTCATTTGATATACGTCACAATTCTATCTGGCCACTTATGCCTTTAACTAGCGCCATATTTTTCAGTGGTTGATCTGCATGGCAGACTAGCAAAAGTCTCATAGATTATCACTCGGTCTGCATCCCACACAAAACATGTTAAAATCCAACGTATTTCAAGGTACAGTAAACACACACATCAAACAGTTATCATAGCTGGCGTCTCTGGTCCCCATAGATATCTGTGTTGTGTGAGGCTCAGTGTTATCATATATATCAATCTATACAGCGAACCCATTTGATATGCCGTTGTTTGAACTATGTAGTTGTTTAGCAAACATCTAGGATTCAGCTGTGATACCCGATACTGTATCTGTGTCTTGAAACAAAAAGAATAAACTTATTAAAGCACAGTCTGCCTTAGACTACCTAACCTACACGTATGGGCTGATATTGGACCATGTACGACGCCCGATCACCGATCTCTTGCGCTGGAGTTTCATAACTTTACACAACTAATATTAGCACAGTGTACGGATGGCCGATGCCATTAATTGTATACACTCACTTTTTGCGCGGGTTATTCTCCGTATACGCACTGTCTTTAATTGATGTATATATATCGTCCTCCATTTTTCGTATTCATGAACTATCACTCGGCATCTTACTGAAGTAATTGAAACTGACTTTTCAACAATGTGGATCACAAGTTTAGAAAACATGACAGCGTTCGTTAATATCATGTGTCGTACGTACTCCAGAAAATTAGGTATAGAAAAAAATTTATGACAGAAGTGGGACTTGAACCCACGCTCGTTTCCGAACCAGGAATTGATGTTAAGAGTAAGACCTTAACCTGGCGCCATAACCAACTCGGCCATCCTGCCATATTGGGCAATGCAAATATATATATATATATATAGTATAAAGTTTACCTACAAATTACTGGGCATGCACTCTAGTGGGGGAACATTTAAAGTATTGTAAGGCTTCGGCTGTACAAATTTTGTCAGCAATTGATATTTAATAATCTGACTATAAATAATCTTAATTACCATCTATCAGAGATTAGATCGTTTCGGTGCAGGTTTTCACACACTTCAGTACCAGAGATGGGGGAAAGGGGGGTGTTAAACCCGATACCACATCAGTACGGAATTGCGAGAATATACCGCCTTGTTTCCGTATTTATAACGAAGTATGCCGCAGTTTTATCGCAGCTCTATGGTAGTCGAAGACTGCTATAGTAATTTGGCCCATACTCTTGTCACTCTAGTTACAATATGTAGTTCTTTAGACAGAAGCAACGAGTACAGGGAGTTGAGGGGTTATCACGTTAGCTACACATTGTGGTTTTATCAAAGAAAGGACAGGAATTTACTTGCGAGAATTACCAGTGAGTAAATCTGCGTAGAAATTCTCTATTCTTATCAAGAAAAGATCTTACGTGGGGGAGGAGGCATCGTAAGATGCACTTGTATCTATTATATGCACGTACTAAGTATGCAGTATGTACTCTGGCAGCAGCGCAAAAAAAGGGAAAAGGATCTCAGTCACACAAAGCAATGATGTCCTCGAAACCTGATCTATTTTTACGCGCACGTGTTGGCCATGGAGGCTTTTTAGTGCGTGCACACGTGCTTGTATTTCTTACATGACTTGTACAAGGTCATACCAGACTATAAGTTGGGGTTCTTGCCTACACTAAACTCCCGACTTCACCAGAACTTACATGTAGTTTTCTCAGCCCACCTAATGAATCAATCAATCAATTTTCTTAGCCCGAAAAGTCACCCAAGATTACAGCGAGATACAAATCTTAGCTTTCGGGCCACCAGGGGCGGATGAGATACGAACCTATAGTTGTCGTGAGTAATAAATTGTTATCATGTCTCAATTTCGAATTTCTACTTCATCAGCCTATAAACGTGCCAGATCGATCAAAATCGCCTCATGTCTGTCCTTGCTGATCGTATGCTGCCAACTATTGATCACTAAGATGTGCCTCACTGTTCCATCGTAGGTGATATTCGATGGATGCAGGCCATTCTTTACCTAAACGAAACGGCACAACCTATTGGAAAACCGACTATTGTGTAGAAGCAACGATGGTCTACACCGAGGGGAGTATTACCAACATGGGATTGTTTCTACTTTTCGAGGGAGTACGAGGCATGCTTAGTTGAAACAATTACGGGATCAGTCTGAGACTATCATATGTCAATGATAGATGGTAGGGTCAATGGGAGATAATCGGGCCAAGGATAAAGATCAATGATAAGGGAAAATACGGTAAGCAGTTACATAAAAATTAATAATAATTTGAGGCAACCTCTCGGCTCTTTATAACTCCTCCAATCTTCTACATTTATGGGTAAAGCTGACTTCTGAGCCTTTAGATGTTCTGGTTGATATAACTAAGATTCTCCTCTACACCACAATAACCGGATGTGTTGAATCTCAAACACCAAAAAAAAAAAAAAAAAAAAAAAAAAATACACGCTCTTCGGATATAATACTTTCCCGTTAACCCCAGTACATTTTGTCCGGAAGAAAGGTCCGGACTGGAAAACAAATAAACAAAAGCAACCGACCATAGCCATATTACAACAATAATTCAAAGAACGCTTGCACAACAATGCCATATGGTCACGCTCATAAAAATGGTGAGGAAAGACATTGCAGTAATCACAAAGTGGTACAAATGTAAGAAAATAAAATCAAGCAAGATGACTATCACACCGGACACCCTTTCCAAAAAAAATATGTAGTAGACAGGAACTCAGGATACACAAGGAAATGATGTGAAAAGGAACTAAAGCATTGGAGTACATGAAGTAGCAAACATTAAAACCCAATATATAGCCGCAAAGACAAAACAACTACTCCAATTTTTTCTTTACTTCCCATTGATCTGCAGGGTTGGCATATGCAACCTCCTCGTTTTGCGTTTCTCCGCCTTTTCAGTAGGAGCTTGAATCACAGGAACTTCATGTTGCTGTGGCTGCTGTTGCATTTTGGGTCTAGCTGGCTCCTTCATAAGTGTTGGGTCGAGCTTAGCAGGCGCTAAAATTGTGATTTCATTATCAGCATATTACAACAAGGATTGAAATTAAAAAAGAGCATACTTCTATTGCTCGCAACTGTCGGATGCCTTGAGCTTTGTGATCCACTAGTGATAGTACGCCATATATGGTCGGACGTGTCTTGAAGATAGTTCGTCGCTGTAACCTGAGTGTGAGATACCAGACTCCTGCCGGCGGGGATGGGATGCAATTTAAACATACTGGACTTCGAAAAGAAACCAGACTTTCCACGGTTCTTCTTGGACAAGATGACTTCATCAAAGAGTTTAATTGACGGGTCCGAGGGCTTTTTCGCCTCCCTGTCATGAATGAACTCGCTAAAGGCCTGGGTCTGCTCAAGCATCTGGATGAAGAGTGAGTTTTCCTGTGGCATGCTCTTGAGAAAGCCCTCCATGTTGAAACGGTAAATATTCCCGGCTTTCTTCCCGTCACCAGTGGCCGGTAGTAGAAACTTGCGGTATGTGTAAAATAAACTTGCAAAGCACCTGACAAATGCCGCACGTATTTGATCGGGATGGAAAGCTACAGGGCATGGGAGACCAATTTGAGAAGAGCAGCGGGCATGTGCAGCAACACGACAGTCTGATATTTTATATTAGCATGAATCATCGTACCATGATTTCGATAGATAGAACACCTACTTGCGCAGCAGTAAATCCCCTCATCTGACTTTTCATCACAAATCGAGCAAACAGATTCAAGATTGTGAGTCTTCCATTGCAAACAATGACCTTCGACCCATTTCGTGGTGTCCGTATTCCTTACCGGCTGCACTAACATGTTCGGCATGACTGTCGATGCTGCAATGGTGGATGGAGCAAATACGGAAGGGGGATAAGCGTTGAACACTGATTGATTGTCAGCACCCAGAGAACTAGTTGACGGAGATGGCGAATGATTCGCAAAGGGCAGGCTAGGCCGGCGCAGAGTTGGCGTACGCTCAAACCCAAATGAAGAGCTCCTACGAGAGGCAGCATCGAAATTTCCAGACCTCTTGCCTCGCAAAGTTGCAGTCAAAGTGAATCCGGTTTCATTCCTGGAGAGACTCGTTCCTTGTGGCGGGTAATTCTGGGACTTTGGAGAGTGGGGGGAGGGCGGGGATTGCCCTCTAACTGTGCCACTTGTTCCCGGCCTTTCGTACCTGGTCTCACCTTTTGACTGTAAAAATGCGTTAAATACTAAAGGTCGTGGAGCAAAGTCCGAAACCACAGCGTCGCCGAATGAGGTTGAATTCAAGTTGACTAGTTTCGCAAGCGTACTGGGCTGAGGTGTTGGGGTGAATATGCCGGAATTTTCGGACATGAAAGAGTTGTGAGGGAATGTCTCAATGGCGTACTGAGGAGGACCTACTGGCACACCATAACGATTATGATGAGGTGCGGCAAGCTGTAATAATGAAAGTAACTTCCTTCTCTGCTGCCTTGGAAGGAGTACTGGTGGTGTAGATGAGATGATCACGTCGGAATCAAGGTCCACACAGACAAAATCCTCCTCAGGGAGTTCAAGTTTGTCATAACGACGCTCTATACCCACGATGTAGGGACATGGAGCCTCAAGAGCAGATAGAAGGCGAGCCGGGAGAACAGGAATGTAGATCCCAAGCCATTGTAAAGGATACATTAAGCTGATCAGAGCACGTGTTGCAATATGCAACATAGATGTGTGGGATGACAAGAGTATGATCCGGGACTCGGCAAGCGCAAACTACCGGGGTTTAGTAAATTTTAACAAAATATTACAGATAGGAACTCACCTCAAACATTGTTACAATGTTGGGAAGAGACAGTGCCCTGAACAAGGCATAAAGATCGGTCTATATCTATATTAGCAAAGCTTCTAGGATCGAACACATAAGCACCTACAGTGCGGCTTCCTGGAATCTCATTCCCAGCCTCTTTCCTGGCAAACATCCTCAACTCACGAATTGCCAACTCAATTTGTGTTCTTGAGGAGTTGGGTGCTGGAGCCTCGGAACAGAGGTTGACAACATATCTACCCTTAGTCAGTTATGCATGATAATGAAAATATTGAGCAGCCCATACCTCTCCAAGGGCTGCCACATCCCAATCTTTGGTGAAGAAAGAGGAACCCTAAGAATTGATCCATTTATCATGGGCACAACAATTGCCTTCAACCACTCCTTCCAAAAGTTCACCATAGAAGAATCTTTTCCCAGAATACCATACGCCCGAGGAATCCACAATCCAGTCTCGCCATCGGTCAGTCCTTCAATTTTCGAAGCTGCGCCATGACGCACAGGACGCAAGAGATCTGCCATAAGCCCAATTTTCTCCTCTGTGGCAATAATCTGATCATCCAATTCCTCCCTTGCCTCAGGATTATTCACCACGGACGGAAGTTTTGCTAGAAGCTTAGACAGCTTTGTACGTTCCGCCGCCAGCCTATTAATTATGTTAATAGTGCTTACATTGGTACCGAATACAAAGTTGGTGCAGGCTATACCTTTCGCCTAAACTAGTAGCAAGCTCTCTCTCTTCATCTGTCATGTTATCCCTTCTCCATTCTTCACACCTCCTCTCAAGATCTTCCGCAGCCCTAGGGTTAAGTGGGATCCAAATGATTATGCATATTCCATGAAGACGTGCATTATCACCACCAGTCATTGTCTGTACTGGACGTAAGTATATTACAGATCACGGCGCACCGAACAGATGAACTTACAAATCCATGCCATGTGGATCTAGGCCTCTCATCACACGAGACAATATTCACATCGTTAGGAAATGCGAACATCGGGACGTAATCCGGGAATGGTCCACGTCGTTTGGTCTCCTCCGTCAAATGCTTTGGTGGATATCTGTCTAAAAGTACAGGTTCGAACTTGCGTTTCAAGGGATGCATATTTGGAGAGGAATTTAGAGGTTGTGGGGTAGGAATGACAGAATTGTAATTCGACATTCTTCTGGCTGTGCGAACAGATGCTGTAGCTAATGGAAATAGTCAGCGAACCGAACCAACGACCATCTCGTATTAGACAGCACAGAGTAACAAAATCCTGATTCTTACAAGATCTATTAACAGACGGAGCTCTCCGCATGGATGTCAGGTCCCTCAAGGAAATTCTCCGTCTCAGCGAGGGGGCTTTCTGAAGGGCAGCCAGATCTTCACTGACAACTCTCTGAGCGCGGGGATGCATGACAGGCTTGTGGGGTACAATGGTACCCGCACTGAATGAAAGATCATCTAAAAAGCTGTCTCGCTCAGCAGCAAACTTCAAAAGCGCGTTGTCGAAGTCATCGTCGGTCATTCCTTTGAATGTTCTCACTCGACCATCGTTATTAAGGTTGCCACTACCACTAACAGTGCTATTGTTGTTTGTGATTGTAGAACTGCTTGAGGTTGATGAATTGCGGATCAGATTGTTGGAAGGGTTAGCTTGTACCGGAGAAGTTGCCTCCACAGCATCACCGACATCACCGATTGGAGACAATGGGTCAATGGTCACGGTGCTATCTGGTGAGGGCATTCCATGTGAGGAGGGGCCATTTCTCGGAACGTGAAGACTTTCTTGTACTTCTTCCTCTGCCTCGATAGCCTCCAGCAACTGTTCTGTGAAGCTTCGCCTGGCTGGCTTCGAGTCCTGGGCCAGATGTTCTCCATAAGAGATGGAGTCTATTCCGGCTATCCAGAAGTAGTCTGCCAGGGGAGGGTCAAGTCCGGGAGGGTTGTTCATGGCGTTTGGTTTTATACGGATTCTGAATGTATTGTTTTATATCAGAGAGATTATTGGAGTGATGCGTACGGTGAATGGCTGTTTGAGATGACTGGAGTGTGTGGAGGGGGGATAAACAGGGTTTAAGGAAAGAAAAAGAAGTTAAAGAAAAGGGGGGAGATTAAAACAAAGAGGATTCGTTCATGACATTCGAAAAAGTTTCCGAAGTATGGAGAGCGAGAGGAAACGAGATGGGGACAAATAGCAGCAACAGCAGAAACAACCACAGCGCGGAGGTGTATTTTGTGGTGGTGAACGTCGTTGCTTGCTGGGCGTTGAGGTAAAGGGGCAGTTCCTGAGTAAGGCTCAAACACCGTTGTAGGGCTCACGCTACTCGATCAGGAACGCAGCACTAAAAAAAAGTATGGTATGCAACTAGATATCGATCTCTTCCAGATAATCTTCTCTCCGGGAAAGCCACACGAAGAAGGAAAAGAAAGAATAGAAGGGAGAAATAAAAAGAAAAAGAAACAAACAATTATCTCAAGGATGAAATCCAGAAAGGATGATAAAGAAGGGAAAGGTCAGGACAGCCTAGAAAGTCCATAAACCCAAAACAAGAACAGAAACCGAACCCTTTGCTCAGTGCTGCAGACTCTGCTGCACAGACTGGACGCCGGACTAGGGATAGACACACAGACAGGTCCAGCCAACTAACTATAGACGCACAGACAGGGGAGCTGGCAAACATTGTGCCTTACCGACTTGGACTGCTCTCCAGTTTTTTGACATTTCCCCATCCTTCGAAACAACGATAGGCTTGACCTGCGATTTGCACTTCGCGAGCTCCCTCGTGCAGGATAGGAGCAGCTGGGGCAGCTGGGAAAGGTCTGTTCTGGGCGGGAGTCTACCCCCAGTTTACCTGTTCTGGTCTCCTTGCAGTTCCCATCCATAAGCAGCGTCGACTGCGAGATGGTATATCTGCTGGTGTGAACCCTCTGTGGAGGGGTGCTAGAAAAGGTGCAGGGGCAGCGGCGATCTCTCCTCCCAAGAGCTGGTTCAAAGGAGCAGGGTCTAACCTGGCCACTGGTCAGGGTGATACGGTATCTTCCACAACAATGTAACTTTGCTGTTCTCGGTCTTCCACCGTTCAATTCAATTGTTCGTGTGGTCGCTCTCCCCACTTTGCGCAATCCTTCGACGCAAGCGAGATCATGCCTAATCATGCTTGATATGCGTTGAGGAGGAGAGCCTCAGGAGCCGAGAGGGCTTTAAACTCGAGAACCGATAATTGCGATAGATACATGTACATACCATACATAATACCGTATCTCCCGTACTACACGTGCTTGATACATGTGTTGATCTATTACTTCTTGGGAGATATTGACATAAACACAGACAGAACCATATTGGGCATGTGGTCGTATTGCGGTAAGCGTCACTACTAAAATTCGATAAGTGTTGCAGCAAAGGACAACAATACATCGCCGTAGGCACCCGTATCATGTATGTATCTCGGGGGGTGAAAGTAGGTAAATACATGTAGTGTTATGTTGTAACTACATGTACATGTAACTAGTCAGTATCTTAGTAGGTACATCTTCCTACCCCGCGACCACCCGATATCACAAGGTTTTAGTAACTGACAGTTCAATTCGAAACCGATTATAACCAGCGGGAGGCTCGGGAGGGGAATTTAAAGGTTGGAACCGGGAGTGCATCATCATCTCTCCATCGTCTGGTCCATCAGTTGTGACGCCAGGACACGTAATCGTCCCCCAAGGTCGTCGTGTACCTACTCGAAAAATTACTAGGTTGATGATTCCACGTAGTTACTAGGATTGCTATACAGCATCAAGAGTAAAAATGGTATCGAGTATCAAATGCCTCTTGGGCTTACTTCGATCACTTAGGTACTTGATACATGTATGTAGGTATAATATGCTGATATTTGCATTTTCTCTTTCTCTTAGGTATTATCTAGCTAGACGAGTAATATACAGCCGTCTAGACAAACCATCAATGATACCGTTCAAAGGGGCGATCCGTTGAACTGATTACCAAGCACAAGTAATTTTGAAGATTGGGATTAAGTTTTCGAAGTCAAATCCGAGCTGAAAGGTTACGATCTGGGCTGCAGTTATTTCCTACATATCGAAACGATGCAGTCATTGTATGTGGGTACTCTAGAGTACCTAGCTGCAGCACATCAACAAAGATTGATCTTCAAGGCATTATTATGGTTCGCCGACGGCAGCGAATACAGAGTGCGTTGAATAGATAGATACGCTGGGTGGGTTGGCGAGATGGACTCACTACCTGAGTACCTTCTCTTCCCCGCGAGTTATGCACGATGAGCATCGGATATCACAGTAGCTAACCACGTGAACACGTGCTGATCGGTGCTGACTTGTTCACGTTACCTAAATTTCACAATATCTCTATCCAAGGATCATTACAGGGTTAGAGGATTGTAGTCCCATTACTCTGCCATACTTCTGCTAAAAAGCCGCAAGCTAATGTTTTCATGTGGGATCAGTATGAATTACAAGGGCGGACTAAAACGGTCTATCACTCTCAATTGCTGGTTAATGGTTGCAGAAAAATAAAGTTGTGATGGGATGGTATCACGACCAACATCTGGGAATTGTGAGGACGAACTACTGCAGCTGATCAGGGTTACACGGAGCTAGACAAGCCACAAGGCTTGAGTACGACGTTGTAACGTCTTTTATGTAGGTACTCCTGAATTTTGAAAATCCCATTTATCCCAGTTAGGAACCGTTATTTTTAGAAGAAATATCGCATTTTTAAAGCGCACCAAGAACGAGCTTGGGTTTAGCCAAACATTGCTACCGGCTTCGATTATTAGCATTGAAAGCGACTGCCGCTTCTTAATGCCTATGTATACTGTACTTTAACTTACCGCGGTCTAAATAGATATCTAAATGTTTCATCAGCGCAAGTTTTATTAGAGAGGAATGGCCCCTGTGCGCCTCAATTTTCTGAAATAGAAGGTCTTAATCCATTATTGGGAATGTTACTTGTCATTGTGTCATCCCAGTAACTATTCTATTTGCGACCTGCACAAGACGCCATATCCATCATACTCCATACACCATATCAAACGCAACAATACGATCTACACTTGCAACCCCAATCGACCTGTGGAAAGAACACCTCGATCTCCACACGCAGACCTCCACTCAATGCTCAATTGCCCCAACACAACTTTCTCTGTGCCTGGATCATCGTCCTTTTTTTCTACTGTGCCATCAGGCTGCACTAAAAAGGCCACCTGCATCACATCTCGGGATCGAAGAAGAGGCGTATCCCTGGGATCTTGCCCTGAAAAACCCACTCCTGTAGATCCTGGCCAATTGAGAGAAATGGATTTCCACCCCCTCTTTGTACCTAAATTCACCATCTCCAATGATATTGGGCCATCGCCCATGTTTTCTAATTGAGCTTCCAAAATTGCTCTTCCACCAGGGAGAGGCCCTGTTTTGGTTCGAATAGTTAAGCATTGTTGCGCAACAAACTGATAGAGTTTCCGGAATGTTCGAGTTCGACCGGGCATTGTTTCATCGTCATCGAGCTTCTTAGGTGCCTCTGTGTATGTCACCGTGACTGCTAAAACGTGGTTCCCCTCTTCTTTCAGATCGTAGCGGACAATCTTTTGAGTAGTGCGCCCAACCTCTAGGTCCACACTTTGCCGCTCGTCGCCGCCAAGCTCTAGATTCAATGTCTGTGAGGGTGTCTGCATTTCAGCGCTTATGCGAACATTCGTGGTAGTATTGGGCTTCTCATTATTGGCTGAGAGGCAGCAACTAAAATTTTCGCCGATATAGGCATTCCCAAAAGCTGGTGGAAGGGTAAGCTTGGAGATGTCAGCCTTTTTTCTTATCGTTATCTGCATACCTGGGCAAGGAGCGTACCAATGGACTGAGTATAAAGGGGTTCGAGAGTGAATGGGAAGGATAAGCTTGAGATTGCTTAGACAAGGCCTCAAGTTCTAGAGCTCCAGAGGCTGTGTCGACAGGGAGTGGATGTTGCTCTGCTAGAGAGGGTCGGGAGAGCCTACAAAGGTTAGCAATGGGATGTGCGCTCTAAGATACTACGAAAGGGAAGCTCACCGGAGCACTTTAAGGGAGATCGAGTGAGGCTCCTTAACTTCTGAGACTGCTCGCTCACGGGGCATAGCTAAATAAGATCCGAATGTACTAATTGTCTTTGGTCTGTTGTTTATCAAGGCCGATGTTGACGTTGCACTCGAACTCCATCCAATCAATGAGAGCCGCGCCAAGCTTCCGTTACTTATACACCCCTGACCGATCTAGGAACATATTTTTATTTCAACCCCACGTTGAATTAATTGACATCGCCGTAGGTTCTCTACATACATAGTGCCCTGCATCCGGAGCATTGTATTGAAGTAGCCATCAACATCCTTTATTTCTTATTTACTCGAGTTTCAAATGTCAGTACCTTTGCAGCGCATTGACTGCTTAAAGCTCATCCTTGACACCCCAAAAGGTAAGCATATGGCCACTGCATTATCTATAAAGGAGTTAGGGGGTTTTAAGTCATGTGCATTCTAGGGCGCGGGGTCTTTGCGGCAAAGAGGATCGAGGCTGGAACCATAATTGACACGGCGCCAGTGATAATTCTTACCGTGGAAGAATTCGATAAATATATTCAACATTCAAAACTCCTAAACTACAGCTAGTAATTACCCTCTCATGCGCAAATCTCTTCTCCCCGCATTTTAATTTTCCTTGGCTACTGCCTAATCGCTTGCCATTATTGTTCTGATTTCAATGGGGCGTGAAACTAATTCATTTTCCCCATTCTCCTACTCTCTGTGCAGTAACTGGCCAAAGAGGTGCAGGTCTTCAGGAAAGTCGGTGATGCACCAGGCTATTGTCCTTGGATTAGGATCGATGTTTAACCACTCGTCAATCCGCCAAAATGTGGGATGGAAGCGTAATCTAGGCGCGGAAGTAGTCGTCTACTCAACGTTACGTGATATTGAGGAGGGAGAGGAATTACTGATATCGTATGGAGCTTGTTTGACATTCGAGGATGTAGAGGCGAAGCAAGCCAGGAGTGATGATGAGGATGGACAAGATATATTGAGTCGGATTGATGTTTGATACTCGTAGTTTTATAGATGGATTATTGTACTCACACAAGAAGTAGAGATTGATTATAATCATGAGTTACAGTACTGTAGTCAGGGCTGGTAGTACTTGCTCTACCTACTACGTACATGTACTTTACCTACATGTGGTTGTCCCTGCAGAAAGCTGCATGCCAAGGTGCTAATAGCTATCAGAGCTAAGATTGTGTACTCCACAGGCTAGTCTGCGGAACGTCACCACTACTCCACATACATTATACATGGAGGTAGTTTAAACACGCGACTGCCCACAACATCAATTCTTACTATTTCATCCATCCCTACCAATTTTTTTATACCACCAAACATATATATTAAATATATTTACCAAAAACCCGCACAATGGCCCCTAGGAAAAGCAATCCTCCGTGTGTAATCGATCTCACCGAAGACTCGGAGCCGCAGCCTGTGTATGCAGCTCCAGCTCCAGCGCCGAAAAGAGTAGGTCGCAAACGAAAGATTGACCTAGTAGATACCGACCATAGTCTCGTATCCATCCCCTACCAGCAGCAAGCTGGGTATGAGCCTAGAGAAGACACTGAGACAATTGAGTCCAAGTCCACATCAGCAAAGTCGAGAGGTGCGGGGAAAGGAAAGGAAGTTGCAGAACCAAGTTCTGCGAAGGCACCGAGCATAAAAAAGGCAAAACACGCACCTGCAGCAGGAGAAGAGAAGAGACTCGGGAGGTGGCGTTCACAGCCAACCCATCAGCTGAGAGATAGGATACATAGATGTCTTACTCAACGGATGGTTGTGTTGGACAGACATAGGAATATGGAAGTGTCCCCTCCTGAAGAGATCTTCCAAATTGCTGGGAGCACAGGGAATGTCTATCAGGTCCATATTAAACGCCAATCGACTTGTAGTTGTCCAGATGGTATTCAGGTGAGGGTTCCAGTCTGTAATATGATCATAACCCATTGTGCTAATTTGAATAGAATGGGCTTTGTAAGCATATACTATATGTTATGATGAAGGTTCTAAAAGCTCGCGATGAGCTCGTTTATCAGCCAGCCCTTCTTTCAACTGTAAGAGCCGCGTTTTTCCAAATTTTAGAAGAGTACAGTCGAGAAGTATTCTTACCATGAATATAGGAGCTCGAACAAATTTTTCTTAAAGCTCCTGCCGCCCCTGCAAGTGATTTATCGAATAGTGGCCCTAGCAACAGAAAGCCACTTGAAGATGACGACTGCCCTATCTGCTATTCCGAATTTGATAACGAAGAGAGCACCGTATACTGCAAATCTCAATGCGGAACCAATATTCACGAAGTGCGTAAACTTTCCCGATTTGAGGTTATGCGAGGTTCTTGCGGCTTACTTGGTTACAGGCGTGTTTTCGGCAATGGGCCGCCACAAAAGGCCCCGGTCAAGTAACCTGCGTTATGTGCCGTCAGCCCTGGCAAAGCGAAAACGTGAAGTCTGCTCTTATGAATGGAAAGATTGGAGAGGAGGGTTACGTGAATGTAGCTGATCAATTGGGTATGAGTCTTGAGCGTGGTATGTATAGACTATATTCTTTAGAGTGGGTTACGTCCTGCTCACGACTTAAAACAGACACATCAACGTATGCTCCGGGCTTTGGAGCTTACGGTGGATATAGGAGAAGGGGCTATTGGTAGTTTTCTCTTTTCATCTAAACGAGCGATTTATCACTTAGGGATATATTCTAACCACTTCTTTCATATTTTTTTTTTCTTTTTCGTTTTTTGTGACGGTTGATTTATTTCAAGGGCATATAATCTGCTGAACGACCTAAATATCTTTCCTTCGTTCATTTTTTTTTTTTTTTTGTGTGTATAGCTATTCCGTTTACCTGCTCAGCGAGTTCCATTGAGCGAGACTTTACATACAAATATTCCTTAGCCGCAAGTTTGGCGGCCGGTTTTTAAGTGGTAGAGGATCCAAAGTCTCGTTTGTCGGGGAACTCGCTGAGCAGGGAAACTGAGTGCGGTTTCTGAGCTAAGACGATACCATAAAAGCCGAGATAAATACATGTATTTATGTATTGTATTTATATATCTATCGCTAATATAAATAAGGATGAATTTACCCCACTCAATAATAATATTTCAATTTCACCTATCGATTCCTTGAATGTCGTCTAATTACTTAAACTACATGTCTAAATAGAATAGTCAGGTATCTCTGTCATCACGAAAGGTTTCAATTGGATGGTTAAATGCCTCCAGTTTCTGTGGTCTGGCGGGTTACAGCTGTCAATAAACAAAGAATGGGGTGCTTTAAGGGAGACGACATGCATGTTTTCAACTCTTCTTTAAATGACAAACCCTAAGCACTACCGTCATGATATATAATAGTCTTCCGTCCAAGATCAATATCGACTCTACTCTTCCAAAATTACAACCTCACGCGAGCAAGGAGGGGCCCAGCCTGCCGCGCAGCGGCAGGTGGCGTCGAATGCATGCGTGAATTACATATTGATGTTTATTTCCACCATTACATCGAATCCCACGCATATCCGAGCCATTGAACAGGGCCGGATCTTTATACATACACATTCCTTTAGTTATCAGCAGTCCCTCGAATTGATGGTTAATTTCATATGCGGCCGGAGGCCGCTCCTCACTAGTATATGTATATATCAGCCATCACATCTACCGTCAAAATTCTGGTTGCATACAATTGAAGTAATCAATCAATCTACCGTCGTAACTAATATAATTTCATCATTGCCATTATGCATGTTCTTTCTGAATCTAGTTTTTTGGTAAAACCCCCCCCAACTAAATCCTTTGTACCCCAAGTAAAATCCCATCAAGCTCAAGCTAGCTATTAGTAACCCCCGTACCTCTTGGTCTGGAGTTGGTCATGGCGGAAACATGTTTATATTCATAGACTTACACGCAGTAGGTGGGGTAAGTAAAGGGTAGGTTCATTACACGATAAACCTCCGGCTCCTATATACTAAAAATGATATCTTCCGTGTACATTATATGAGTAAGAGTCGCGGCGGGGTAATGGGAGTATTTCAAAACAAAAACGGAATAAATGGTTTGAGTGAGTGTTCTTTTAGTATAACAGAAAGCAGGTTTCGATCACTACCCTTGGGATATCTTCGACTTGAGGAGAATGCAAATTGTTTGATGATTACCTCTCCGCTAATGAGCGACTAGTAGGCATAAAGGGTGAAACCCTGTACTTGTATTGTAGATTGAGTGCTCCGCCATAACTGAAAGGTTGCATGCGAGTATAAATTAAACAAAAAAAAAAGAAAGAAAAAAAAAACCTGTCCGCTAATAAAACGCAATTAGTGAATGATCAATCATAATCAATCAATCAATATCCGCTAGTAAATACATGTAGTTATCGTGTCTGGTTTATATTTAGACAGTTGACTAATTCTATCAATGATCATGGATGACGTTTTCTGTAAAATGAAGATCACCAAATAAGTAGCTGCATGCGATTAATGTAATGAATAATAAAAGGAAAAAAAGAAAAGAAAAGTATATATTGTGTATCATCAGAAATCACTCGACCATATGTACTCATACATGTATGTTATGTATGTATCTCCCTACGGCGTTTTCACGACCGGGAGCTAGTAGGCCACTTTTACTCGGTAGTACACCTAACCCTCACTCCGTGAACCTCTTTTGCTGTGAAGTCACCTTCTGTGACCCCTCCGATACCTATTTTGGTGTCTCCACAATCTGTAGGTAGCTAGATTTTCTGAATATCACCACGCCGTCGTGGGCCTAATATGTCTCCCTTTTTGCTCTGACGAACGAAGGGATAGGGAGTCCTATTAATAGATCGCTATTGACTATGCATACATGCAGTACTAGGTCTTTGGGATGCACAATTGTGCTGGTATTTACTCAAGTATTTTCAACCAAGTTGGCTTCCGCATCTGTAAATCAAGATAAATATAAATCTTTCCACTGTCATTTAAGGTCTGTTTGCCACTACTTGCCAGATTTTTTTCTGTGTCCAGCTGTTTCTTCCTCATCCGGAAATATGGGAGTGCTACGAAGCAACAGCCCTAAAACTTGGTGAATTTGATACTTATTTGGTGAGATAAAGTCGTTGCGACTCTTCCGTATCAGGAAGAATAGGTTCGCTGGACACAGAAAAAAATCCGGCAAGTACTTCTCGCAAAGATAGTGACAAACCCGTATTATTCAATCGACATCTTTCAAACACATCTTTAGGAGCAAGTGGGCTTTACTTATGTGGAGAAGCGACAGAGAATGCTGAGACGAAGGTTCCACTTCGCAATATACCGCTGGTATAAGCTGACCCAAGTGATTATTCACAAGGTGCAGTGGGTTCAAGTATAGTAGTCTGCTAGAATTGATGATTGAAAGATGCGGAGTGTACTATACACTACAGTTATAATAACGTTATGAGCAAGTATAACGGATTCACGTATGCGTTAATTAGCGATCTATCACATGTCCATCAAACGCGTACGATAGAGGAACAAAGCTAGCTGGTCGTAAATATAAATCGATAAATCGGCCAGTTGCTATACTAGACACGGTGGGTCCGTTTGCATATATTTGTGCTCTATCTTTGATGAAATCGAAACGGAGGTCGTAAATCTAGGCTCTGCCAATTTAAATCTATAAATATCATTGCCGCCATAGATGACGCTGATTGGACAGGCACTTTAGTTAAGGTTGGTTTAAAGTTCTTAGCGTGTACACCCTCCCCCGTTTAGTGGCTTGTCAAGCAGTAAATTAAGCGATTTTAAGCCTCACTCCAACACCAAACGTCCAACATCCATATTCCTATATTCAGAAAACTAACCCCCAAGACCTCCAAATCATGGCGCGCCCCCAACAGCCCCAATTTCAAAATTCCCACCAGGAGCTCTCCCTTTACTCTCACATCACTTCATCACGACAGCCTCAGATTCTCCGCATCATCTCCGGCATTACTGGCATGCTTCCTGACACTTCACTGCACCACACCCTCGTCTTCAAGCCCAAACGGCCCAAACAACTTGGTCCCGGTGGCGGTACAGAGCTGTACTATGTGCACCTTGTTTCCAGGATTGATGAGACACAGGAGGCAGAGGGGAAGTGCTATGATGTCCGGAAACAGAAGTGGACGATGACGCTGGAGGATATACCGGAGCCGACACGGAAGCCAGTGACCAGTAGGAGTGTGTTGAGCTCAGACATCAGTGAGGGTGATGCTGTCGCTTTTATGGAGAGCTTGGGATACACGTGAGTTTAGGTGTCTGTAGGCGGGGTGTGCTTCAATCAAGATATTGATAGAACTGGATTATAGATTCCAGGCAGCGTATTTCACGAAGTCAGAGCGGCTGGTGCACAATAACGTCATTATTAAATTGACACAGATATTAATCCCATCAAACCCTCCGGCCCCAGATAATACAGTCACGCCGTCGGCAGATGAGATGCTAGGAAACCCATTCCCGGTGTCAGCTCTGACACCGCTCGACCCGGCCAAATCATGGATTTTGAAGGCGAGCGTACGAGTTCAGAGCAACCAAGACGTAGAGAATCTCAATGTTGGAGCGAATGAGCTGAAGGGGTTCAAAGAACTAATGAAGGGGATGTGTGATTTGGAGGTTGCAGAGAGGTTGGCTTTGGATACCAGGGTGAGGTGATTAATTAGAGACTAGTAATTCACTTGCTGTGTACTTAGGACGATTGAAGTCACCAGGGATAACATTTGTATTATAATATTCTGAGATACTGTGCCCTCTAGGTTTGGTAGCCCACATGCAGTATGGTAGATTACCTATAAAAACTCGTTAGAAGGTGCATCTACTAGATATATCTATACTTAACGGGTTCCTGGTATGCACCCCATGTTTGCGGGTCTTTTTTTGTAAACCGCCCCATAATGGGGTAATTCCTAGATCATTGTGGGTAATTAATTTGCTATATGAGTCGAGCGGTGGAGGGTTGAGACGGAGAGGTTGGCGGGAGAGATTCCAACCAAAAACTTGGCATCGAGTTCCGATGTAGTTGAAATCGCCATGCCTCACCATTCGTCTCGCCCAACCCTCCACTACCCTAGCCCCGACTTCGCGGGCTGGATACGATTGTCAATGATCGTTGAGATATAAAGTATAAAAAAAAGTCTACAATTACAATAAAGGTTAAAGACTAGGGTATACTAGGCCTAACAAGCTCCACTCATTCCATCTATCCCCTAGGTTACAAAAACCAATCTTAACACGTTCCCCCCTCCGCCCCTCCCCTTAAAATCTTCAAAAAGCTCTGTACGACAGATATTGCCATAACACAGACCCCAAAGACAACTGTTGCGCCAGCAACATACGTCTTCCAGCTCCTCGTTGCGAGCTTCATATAGCACAGCGGTGGCAGTATATACGCTAGTGCACATGCACTTGTGGCACCAATCAACTCAAACACAACACCCAGATCGCATGTAAGAAGCGACAGTACCATTGCAGAGACAACGTGCGAGGTCCCGAAGATGAGATGACGCTTCATACTGAAGGGAGCGTCGGGGAAAAAATAGGTTTCGACTACTTCTCGACATACAAAAGCTTCCAGCGGGAGCGTGGTTAGCATGTTGAGGCCAAAACAGCTATAGTTTGATGTTAGTACAGGTCCTATATAAATCTTCATATGGGTGAGAGAGACAGACA